AGCGCCACCAGGATGGTTCCTGGTCGCGCGCGCGCGTGAATAGAAATGAAAAAAAAAACTTTGCTCGAATCGAATGCAATTTATTGAATTGAAAAAAATTGAACACGATTATTTTCATTATCGACGACATAGAGATTGCCTTGTCGATCGAACGACAAACCAAGGGGATAATTGAACTGATTTGCTCCTGCTCCTTGACCATTTCCACCCGCAATGACAGTACCCTGTTTTGCTCCTTTAGGCCAACACATGACTCGATGATTCCGCGTATCTGCCACATAGATGGTATCCAACGTATTGACGAAAAGTCCGTTAGGTTTCGACAATTGTGTCAGAGCTTCCCCTTGACCTTGACCTCCAGCGACGGCAATGCCTTCTTTTGCACCTTTATTCCATTTCATTACACGATGATTGTTGTTGTCTGACACGTAGACAGTCTGTTGTTGATCGACATAGATGTAGGTCGGCCAGCTGAGTTGATTGAGACCAGCACCTTTGTCATTTCCACCAGCCACGATAATTCCATTCTTGTCTCCTATTTGATATCGTCTTACTTCATGTTTTTTGTAGTCAGAGACGTAGAGATATCTCTGATCATCCATGAACAATCCGCAACAAGCGATGTTGTCAATGAGGATTTCACCTTGAGTTGTGTCACTACGACGAGACCATCGTACAACTCGGCTATTCGCTGCATCGCAGATAATGAGACTATCAGTCTCTTTGTCGATTAGCACATCGCTTGGCCAACTCAATTGATCCAATCGTTTTCCTTGGCCCTTTTCACCAACTACAACTTGTCCATTCGTATCATCCATCTTCCATTGGACGATACGATGATTCCGGCAGTCAGCAATGATCATCGTTTGATCATCATCAACGAAGAGACCACAAGGCCTGTTGAGTTGATTTGTGGCATCGCCTTCTTCATTCCCTCCAGCAACGGTCTTTCCATTCCATGACCATTGAGCATCGATTGGAATATTGGGAATAACTACAATGAACAAAGAAAATGAATCGTCGTCATTGTCGAAGAGATCTTTGTCTCTCATGCATGAGAGAGTACTTTCCGTAACTTAGTCTATAAGAAAGAGACTTTGTAAGAATTTTGTTGTGTCGACAATTATTTCTAATATCTGAAATGTTAAGCTCTCAAAATTCTAAGGAGATTTCCATATACGAGTTCATAAGTGTAAAGAAAACAAAATTTTGCAAACATGAAAAGAAAGAAAAAAAGATAATGAATAGTTCTTTTTGTAGAGTTTGAAGTCTTTCTTGTTTCTCTCTTTCTCTTCTAATGCTCATCAATTTTCTATGTTTCTTCAAAATTTCAGCAATTTTTTTCTTTCTATATGATTTCCAAGGGCATTGATTACTCTAGCCAACGGTATAGTTTCCTTTTGACTTATTCTCTAGACTGAAAGGAGGATCAGCTCAAATAAAACCTACCAGTATGTGTGTATGTGTCAGGGGGAGAAAAAACATTGTCTGAAACAATAATGCTCAGTTCTTTTCTACATCTACTCCGGTAGAGCTTGACAAAAAGTTTTATGGGATTGAGGAATCGATTGGTACCATTGGTTTTTGAAAACTTTCAGATAGATGCTTTAGTGAAAAATGGATTGTTTTAGCACAAAGAAAAACTGTGCTCCCAACTACATAAACTAAAAATTAGGAACTCATTGTAGCATCAACTGGAAGGCTATTAGCGTCACTTGAAGTGCTAGTAGCATCATCTGAAATGTTGATAGCATCTTAGGTGATGCTACTAGCATCCCAATGGAAGCCCTGAGATCCCAGGTTATATATCTAGTGAACATTAGTTATACCTCGCGAGCTAGTATCTCAGTGAAATTCGATCTTACTGCGATAAACCAGAAAACATGGATTGGGTTTTATTGGGAAAGGGTGGTTGGGTAAGTGAGCTCCATGTTTGGAGTTTGCATGTGGAGCTCACTTTTTTTGAGTCCGTTTTCGAGGAAAACAATGATTTCTTGTCAACTTTGACTAAAGGTTTTCGGCGTCAAGAAATCGATTGGTGGCATTGGATTTTGGAAAATTTTCGAAAGGATTTTTTTCACTGAAGAAATGATTCTTTAAGAAAATTATGTTTCTTCATAAAGGTTGACTTAACATGCTTGAGAGTTGAGGACTCGGGTTCATCAATGATCCCTGAAGATCAGTGAATTCGAGGATCACAATGTATGATATTAATTCAGTCAATAATGTATCACAGAGTCAGAGATGGGCGACTTAGAGGTTTTTCAAGTCTCAAGTCAAGACAAGTCACTAAAAAAAAATTTCAAGTCAAGTCAAGTCAAGGCAAACCAAGTTGAGTCAAACATTTATTCGACTTAATTTGACTTCATTAGTAAGAATTTTTAAACGCTTCTGACTTAACTTCGTTTGACTTGCAGGTCAAGTTGGAAGCAGAACTGGACAAGTTAGTGGTTTCTTAAGTCACAAGTCAAGTCGATACGCAAGTCAAGTCAAGTCAAGTCACGATCCAAGCCAAGTCAAACTCAAGTCAATTCAAGTCAAGTCAAGTCACGATCCAAGCCAAGTCAAACTCAAGTCAAGTCAAGTCAAGTCAAGTCAGGGTATTCAAAATTTTCCCCAAGTCAAGTCAAGTGAAGTCAGACTTGACTTCACTTGACTTGACTTGACTTAAAAGTAGGGTATTTTTGACTTGACTTGCCCAGCTCTGCACAGAGTGCACCAAATAATCCTTCTTACTTCAGAATAGAGCTGATCACAGTTCGGAGAATCGGTGCCTTATTTTCTGACAAGCATTTTTCAACGTCATTCAGGTTTCAAATCGTTGTTTTTTTATGGTTTTTGTTTGAGATTATCGAGGAAACCAACACGATGATCAGTTATATTAATTTAAAAGCTGTGCTGTATAAACGTATATATTTTTGTTCCTTCAATTGTAGGGAGGCTGATGTGACAAGAAGTGAATAGAGTTTTGTTTGTGGCAAGGTCAAAAAAAATCAAAGGTGAATTTTTTTATAACAGTTGACGAAAGTCGGTTTCTCAAAGTTTTGAGTTGAACTTTTTGGGTTCAGAAAAGGGTTTTTTGAGAAATAAACGATATTTCCTTGACTTAAGGGAGGATCATATGAAATAAAATAAGTTTCTATGTGTCAGGGTCAAAAGAACGTCGGAGTCAAGGAAACATCGGCCAAAAGGTTTATGGTCGATTTGAGAGGAAGAACAAATATGCTCGGACTACGCCGTAAGAGAATTAGTGCATGGGCTTAATTCAACTATGACAATGCACTGCGAGATGTTTGATTAAGTAAAGCTCTTTTACAAAATAGTCGTCACTGAACATACTATAGATAGATTTTCGTCTGTGCATGTATTGCACAATAATTGTTAAAGCAGAACAGAGAAACTGATAACAAGATTGAATTCTGTCGAAGGTTAAGTCATTCCTGCCGACGAGCGTTATTTGTTTCATATCTTGATAAGAAACTAGATGAATTTTGAGAAATGAAGGAAAAAATCTTTTTTTTCTCTGTATACTGTCTTGGTTTTCTCCTCAAACAATTGATGTAAAAAATTGAAGTATTTATTCTGATCAAGTAGCTTTTAGTCATGCAATTACCATAATCTTTGCCAATTAATATATGACTGAATAGAGCAACAATTTTTGATTTTATTGATAAATAAGATGTTTAAAATTCCAGCAATAAAATCTATGTTTCTCCCACTATTCGAAATAGTTTTATACTATTTTTTATGTTAGATAGAGTAATCAATTTTCTAACAAATTATATAGAAATAAAAAATTCTTGAAGTGTTTGGCGGAAAACAAGTTGATAGAAGGAACTTCTTCTTTAAAACAAATATAAAGTAGCTTTATTACGCTGAGTTTCAGTGAATCAGTGCTGATCTTTGTATTGTCAACAGTGTATTTCTGGTGAAGTAACTTATATCTCCACCAAAAAAAAAGAATAAAGTGTTGAGAAATTGTTACTGTGTACTACGAAAGTTGCAATTCACTCGTATATATGTGTATCTACTTGTTTCTTTTCTGTTTAACAAATGAGAAAAGTATTATGAGCTTCGTTAATATCTTTGTCGATTTGCTTATCCTTATACAGAATGTTTCCAAAAGTTCGCTCGAAAAAGAAACGTGATTATCTCTTTAACTCTTCAAGCGATTTACTTGAGGTTTTTCTAGTTTCATTTCAAAAACTTCCCATTTGCAACATATCTATAAAAACATTACGCAAATTTTTACTTTGAAATTTTTTTGACCTTATTATGGATTTTCATATCCAACTTAATGAGATCTTTAACCGATCTTTTGCAAACATGTTTCTAAGAACAATCATCGAGTCACATCAGATCAACTGACCTATTGCACTTGTTTGGAGAGATGTTCTTTAAAAATTACAGACTTCACGGCTAAAATGTGAAAGAGTTTCATCTTGGTAAAATACTATACGGTTCATCTAGCATAATGTTCGTAATTCTAGAATACAAGAAAGTCTAAACGTATAATAAAATTTTTTTTGTTTCGATGAAAATGTTATCGCCAAAAGAATTGTTCCAACAGTCGATTTCCTAACATTGTAACGTAAATGTTGTCTTTCAAAGATTGTATAACAATATCAATAGTTCTATGTGAATTTTTTTCACTCCGCTATCTCGCTATATTGTAACATGCTCCTGATGGTTGTTATAGAAATTTTTAAAATAAAAATTTACGTAATGTTCTTACAGGTATATTGCAAAGGGGAAGTTTGAGTATTGCATTTGTAAGTAATCATTTTGTATATTTGTTATAGACAAATTTATATGAAATAAAACTTTAATGAATATGAAATGAAACTATAAAAACATCAAGTAAATTGCTTGATCAGTTAGAGAAATAATCACGTTTCTCTTTCGAGCGAACTTTTGGAACACCCTGTATAAGTAGTTTGAATTTTTTAAATAAGAGAGTTCTTAGAAAACAATTAATGAACTTTTTCAATTATAGATTATGTTGAACACAACTTTTTACTGAGCAATCAAATACCGATCATTAGAAATGACTGACTGCTTAGTAAGAAAGCTCTTCAAACACAGATTATTGATAGCTCAAGAAAAGCGCAGAGAGATATGTTTAGAAACATACTTCTCATCTCGTTTTTACAGACTACATTTTAATGTCATTCAGAGATGTGCTTTTTCACTCAAAGGCAAGGCTTGATAAAAAAAGAATTCGAAGTACACCAGTCAATAGCTCTTTCAATGTGGATTGTGACTCGATATTCTTTATTCTTGTAAAAACCGTTTTACTAGACGAAAAATCGAGAGAGACTTGAAGGGTGTTACGAATATGATATGACTCATTCTATGACTAAATCTCAGTGAACATTTCTGAGTATTGATTCTTCTAACAATGTCTTCTCATCAGCTGAATACCTCATAAAATAATCATAAATCCAGAATGGGAATGACCTATCGAGAGAGAACATTTTGAATCTATTTTAAGTCTCAATTGGTCGGTCCTACTAGTCGGTCAAATATCACTTCGATAGACGAATGGATCAACTTTGTGAGAATACTCTATTGAGATCGTGCTATACTTCTTATGTCAGTATCCATGAAGCATCGATTAGAATATTGAAAATAACTACAATGAACAAAGTACTTTCCGTAACTTAGTCTTTAAGAAAAGGACTGTGTAAGAATTCCTTTGTGTCGAAAACTATTTCTAATGTCTGAAATGTTAAGCTTTCAAAGAGAAAACTGCTGAACATGAAATTCTAAGTAGATTTCCATGTTCCACTGAAATTCATTCTCTCTCTCTCGATTATGACATGTTTTTTAATGTTGTAAAACATATTTAAACGTCTTACTGTCATGCAAATTCACTTTGTGAGTGTGACTTCTTTTTGTAAAGTACATTTTTAATTATTTAGAAGAAAATAGCTTATCTGTTTCTTCAGTGGAATCAAGGAAAACTTTAACCACTTTATCTCGTATTTATTCTTGAGAAGGTTAAAGTTTGTTTTTGTCTTTCGTTACTCATGAAACTTATCGAGTACGATTCAGGTGAGAATGAAAGATAAAAAAATCTCATTCAATGTTTTTGATTTGAGTTTTAGAATCAGAAGTACATGTTATTGTCATCTTTCTATTGTCAAAACAGCCTATTATCGTGGAAGTTATAGTACTACTACAAAATTATAGAACTCAAAAAGATTGAACTGTTTGAATGGTATAGAATAGTAGAAAAAAAGAGGTTTTGTGATAGACCATGCAAAGTCAAAAAGATATTATCTATTTCAATCGATTTCTATTACCTCCTGTTTTCTGAATGAAGAAAAGATATTCAAAAAACCTTTTTTACAGACTACAATTTTTAAATCTTTGAAAGATGTATTTGTTACTTAAAGGCAGCGCTTAATAGAAAAAAGAATTTGGATTACACCATTAAAAAAGTACTTTTGAACTGAGTTGATAAATCGAATCCTTTTTTTAAGTTTTTATTAGTCGCCGAATTCATCAACTTTGTGAGAATACTCTATCGAGATTGTGCCCTAATTCTTATGTCAGTGCCCATGAAGCATTGATTGGAATATTGAGAATAACTATAATGAACAAAGTAAAAGAAAATGAATCGTCATTTTCAAAGAGATCTTCGTTTCTCATACAAAGGATATTTCCATGTTCTACTGAAACTCATTGTCTCTCTCTCGATTATTGCATGTTTTTTAATGTATTATACATATTTGAACGTTTTACTGTCATGCAAACTTTCAGCTCTCTCTAGTTCATACTATAGCTGAGTTATAAGAGTTAGAATGTACAAAAATCATGTTTTTTAGAAAGATGTAGGGACGGCGAAACGTTTTGAAATTGGATAAGACTCAATGAATGTTTACCTGCTATCCTAAAATGGTACTTCACATATCAGCATGAATTAATTTGATATTAGAACATTAAACCAAAAGAAACCTGGTCTTTTTTCGTTTGCCGATATAAAATGAGTAGTTTGTGTTATAGAAGACGATTTAGTGAAAGCAATTTATTCTATAGATACAAATGTTGTTGCATGTTGTAATGTTTTAGTAAAATACTTCAAAAATGATCTAGTACATCGTTGTTTTACTGTTTATCTGCTTAATATTCATATAAAGATGGAATCAGATTTTGCTTAGCAAGACTAATATAATAACTGTCTAGCTCACCAGTTAAATAGCATAATTTTACAATTGATCTAGTACACATATCACTTTATGTAAATGAGAAAAAAAAGGTATTGCTGTAAATCATAAGAACACAGTTAATGAGTTTGAACATGCTTAAACTGACAAAGCATAATTCATCTGTAAAACTGTGTACAGTAAAAATAAAAAGTGCAATGAAACATATCTAGTTCAGTAGAAGTAAGAACAGTCTATTATTCTATGTAAAAATAAAAATTTCAGTATCTTTGTAAGAAGCAGTCATCCAAAAAATTTATCTGAAGACAAAAAATCGTTGATGAGAAGTT